GGAAGAATGTTAGATATTATATGGCTTATATGGCCATTTTCTAACTTTAAAAAATATCTTTATTTATTTATGATTTAATAACTTAAAAAAATAAGTTAAGTTAATTATTATAATTTAATAAGTATTGAATTTATTAAACTTGATAATTAAAACAAAGGTTTTGTTTAATTAATATAAACAAAACTTTTGTTTAATAAACGTTATTAAACTAAAAGATTTTTAATTATAATGAATGATAGTTTTATTTCATGAAACAATGAATGCAATGTAAACAAAAGAAAATTTTGTTTATAATTCATATGTTGATAACACATATGAATTGAATGCAATTAATGAATGAAAGAAATCGTTTCACTTTCTCAGCTTATAAATTGATGCATTCTATCTATAAAAAATGTGCGTTAAGTCAAAGCGTTAAGAAAGAGAAAAACAAAATTATAAAACACCATTTCTAAAAAAATTAATTATGGATTAAGGTATGATTTCTCTTCAATTAAGAAATTATGAAAATCATCATGTTCAAAGACCTTAAGCATTAAGACCATGCAAAATTAAAATTCAATTTGCATAATAAAAGAAAATTTAACGAAATATCCTCACATCAACCTCTCTCACAAAAATAAAATCATTTGAAAAAGAAATAAAGCAAAATAGTAAAATTTGAAGCCTTTCAAACCCTCTCTTTGTATAAAAAAAATTATATAAAAATAGAGAAAACCTAAAAAAAAAAAAGCAGTTATAGCTTTAAAAACAAAAACAAAAAAGTAAACAGTCAATAGTGCCAATGAAATTTCATGTTTAACTTTTTTTTTCTTTCATTTTCCTCTGTTTTCTAAGAACCCAAACAAACTAAAGAAAAACTGTATAATGAAAAATACGAATGAAAACTAAAAAAAAAAAGAGTGGATTAAAAAGATAAAAAGGAAAACCTCATATATGGTGATTCTTAGTGTACTTCATTAGTTTGCTTCACTTAAAGAATATAAAGTCATGTTTGGTATACATAATTATGATAAGATATGATAAAATGATATTATGAATAAGATTAAATTAATAATATCATCATATCTTGCGTTTAATGTGTGCAAATATTAAGATCGGATAATTTATTTATTTGTCAAAATTATTCTTCTTTAAAGTTTATATAATTTAAATTATTGATATAATTTTTAAGAGTATAATAGGATATATAAGTTTAATCTCATGAATTAAAAATAATCCTCTACACTTTAAGAAAATTGAATCGTCCTATACTAAGAGGATAATAATCCTTCTTATAATCCTATTCCTTTTTAATTAGATATAAACTAAGCATAATACAGAATGATTATCATACTATCATATCCATCATCCTATGCACCAAACATGACCTAAATGTGTATGTATTGTAGACTGCAAAAAGCATAAAAAGGTTTCAATTTTTTTTTATGGGTAAATTACATATATATATGTATATACACACTGTGGTTAAACACGATTTGAATTTGTCCCGTAAGGTTTAAAATGTAACACATAACCACACTGATATGTTTATCCATGTCATTCCAGTTACTATTCATTAACACTATTAACGTCTAAGTCATATAAACCCCCAAGCTTTTTCCCCTATCCTTTTTATTTGTTTTGCTATTTTTCATATTCAAACTTTTGAAAGAAAAATTAGTGGAAAAGAATGAATTTTTCACAATCTTTAGCGAGTGGAGGATCAAACGTTAGAAAATATGTTATTGTGATGTGGAATCACCTATAAGAACATTTGGAACAAGAAACAACTGAGTGTGAAAATTTTATAAGTATGGTAAATTTGAGGTAAGATGTACTTCATTTAATCTTAAAATAGTTTTTAGGATTTAAAAATAATATATATAATCTTATATTTCTTGTTAGGAAACTTAAAAATGTGATTTCTTCTAGTGAGTGGATAAATTATCATGTGATTTCTATAAAAAATAAAAAGTTAAATTGGAAAAAACAATCAAGAAAATAGAATATGAGATTTCCATGTCAAATTCAAAGAAGCAAGAATTATTTAAAAAATTAGTTTTATGTTCAGTAAAAAAAAAAATGAGTTCGCAAGAAAAATTAGTTAAAGTAAAAAAAGAGAGCTGAAATTGAAGAAAGAACTTGCTGGAACTTATATTAAAGGAAAAAAATGGTGTTTTTAATTTGTTTAAGTGTTCTTGTTTTGTTTATAGTAATTTTATATGATCATTTTTGCCTAAGAAATTGTAGAAACTAATTTCTGGAATTAAAGAATTGATTTTCCAATATTGATGTTAGTAGGAATGAGTTAATGCTTTAGTTGTACCACGTGCTTGTAGAAATGATCCAATGAACTATGTGGTTAATATATATATATATATATTTTATATTCTAATTGTGTTATTTGATTTGTTACACAAACACTAAAACTGTAAAAAGTGAATTTCCATTAATTACCACATTTGCAAACACCCAATAACTACATTTGCAAACAACCATATTTCTATTATCAATATTATGTTTGATTAAGAAACATAAGAAAGAACATAAAGGCAAAAAATTCATATTGATATTAAAAACGAGTTTTACTTTAACTGAGCAACATTGTACATTATGAAACCTGTAAAAATATTGGCTATAAATAAAAAAAGACTATACTTTAAACTGGTTTATCCACATTCACCCAAAAAGAACTATACCATAACTATTGGTTTATAAACATCCATTCAAAAAGAACTATACCCTAAACTAATTCTTAACTTTCAACTAACAAGAATTATACATCAATATACATCATCATAATAACATGTAAGAATTATTCCCAGATTACACCCAAACTCCTTAGCTACTAGTTGTTTGGCTACCAGCTTTTTGGTTAGTAGTTTCTTAATTTGTGCCAGTAGTGTGATTGTCAACTGATTGCCTACCAGATGCATGGTTACCACCAACAATAGTCCTACCCCTTCATCTAATTAAAGTAACTTTTTACCTAAAAGTTTATCTTCCTTTGGTAACATATCTAGCAACTTTTCCCATTGAATTTGTGCCAAAATCTGAAGTTATAACAATAACAAGAACTTATGCATCAACACTTTCAATACCCCTTCTTCCCGTGCCAACATTGGCATTAGTTCTTTCTTTTGTACCAACATTAGAAGTAGCTTTTTCTCTTAAATCAAATGTACTAGCATTTTTCCTTTTACCAGTATCAAAAAGAAGTTTTTTGGATCTACCTTTGCCTTTATTAGTCATACCAATAGCCCTTCCTCTTAAACTTATCGCTGAAAAAGATACAAAATTTTGAGTAACCTATCAAATAACCATATAAAGGTTAAAAAATATCACACTAAGAACAATCTAAACCAATCTAATACAATTCGATACAAAAATCCAAAATTAAACATCTTTATAGAATGCTTCTATAATTGCTATCCTCAATGCTTGTTATTTATACAAAGTTAATATTCTAGAAGTTTACCTGATAACGATTACTTAAACATCATAAAATTACCTCATTCATTCAAAAATAATAAAATAAATAGAAATAGCAAAAACAGCCTTAACTTTACAACTGTAAACAGCATTTTGTTCTAAAACACTTAAGATAAACAAAAACAGTAAAAACAACCTTAACTAAACAACAAAAGATTCACCTAAGTCATATTACATATATGTGTGTATATCATAATAAATCTAAAATTATTACCTAAGTATGGGTCCTTAACCTCTTCAACTTATCCTTACTAGCCATGGAGTCTATCCTACCACTAATACTTTGCAACATCTTATATTGTGTCCTTTTTTACCATAATTTTCACAGTTAGTGGTTTATTCCTCTTAGACAATTTGTAAAGATTTTGTGGTTTATCAAATGCTCTCTTTCTTAATTTTCTTGGTTTACCTAGTAGTTTATAAATGATTAGAAGAGTTAAAAGATGGTTATTTGTAACCTATTTATGTTGTCTTGGAATAGGGTTAGTAATGCTATTATAGTCTTTATGTAGGTCTCTTTAGTATGGCAAGAATGAACATAACTTCTAGTTTCTTTCTGTTCTTGAAAATAACTGAAACAACATGCTTACAAGAGATTTCAGTCAAATCTTAATACTTGTTAGTACAACTTTGTTCAGCCAAGTTCACAACATGCTAGTTGTACCACATTCAAATTCATGCTTCAACCTACCAGTTGAAACTAAAAATTGAATGAGTCATTTTTTATCCTTTCAAGTTTGTCTTGAATATTTGGACAAATAGGGCTTTTGTATGACTCCATTCCAACCCTTTTAGCATGAAACCTTTTTATCAATCTTTTTTTAATCCATTTTAACATGCTCAGTATAAGTAAATACCTAGCTTGTAATATGTAAGTATTAAATGACTCACTCTTGTGCTACAATGAGACCTTGCCCTCTTAGATGGGTTTAATTTATTTACCCAAGCTGTCATAACATATAGATCCATGGACCTATCGCTAGACATAGATGAAAGGGAGTCGCTACCAATATTTTTTGTCTAAGTGTGATTGGCACCTGATTGATGTTAGTCTGTAAAATAGAGGTTAGATTCGAAAGTCAGTTACAGTTGGGGAATATTGTAGCACCCTCACAGTGGTTATCCAAGGATGGTACCAGTTTTGATTTCAAATTATCCAAACCTTGAATTATTACTTTTATTACATAAAGAAAACAGTAAAACCTCCAAAAAAAATTTATTTTTTATTATTATTTTTTTATTTTGAAAACCTTTTTTATGAAGATTTTTTTTTAAAAGATTTATTTATTTATTTTTATTATTATTATTTTTAAATCTAACAAGAACGAAATAAATAATAAAAAAGGTATAAAAAAGAATTATCAATTCTAGACTAAAACCTAATGTAAACGGAATCCAAAGCATATATGGGTCAAGTGAATATGAAGACTTTGGCCCAATTAATGATCCATGATTGAAGGCAAAATGGGCTGACTCATCATTACCACTTGTAACTTTTCTAATGATCTCTCCAGCAGCAAAGTCACTTGGAATATTGTGATTTTTGGTTCCGATTCCTTTCCTGCAAAAACATCATTGCCGTCCTTCCCACCAAACTGAAATTTTGGCCACAACATGGGCCACGGCTATCACTATCCTCTATAGTTGCTCGCCCTTTTTTGTGTTTGTCATCTCCTTGCAATTTCCAACCAAGACTGAAAAAAACTAAAAGGCCCAAAACATAGTTGTCGGATCTTCCTTTCATTCTCGTAAACCACCGTATGGAAATCAAGACCACTGACTGAACCACCAGTTAAAGTCAGAACGACCAAGGATCCAATCCTCTCTTTATTTTCTGCATTTTTGTCTCTGTTTAGTCTTGATGGATTTGTTTTCTAATTGAAGCTTTTGCAGGTTTTAGGTCTAGGGGTCACGGAGTTCGTCTGAAGCTTTTCTGGTGTGGATTCCCTTTTTTAGGCCCTTCCCCTTGATTCTTTTCATTCCTTACTCTTTATTGCCAGCTGTAGATGCTTGATTCTTTGCATGAATTAATGCCAAACAAATCTGTAACTGAATCACCAAGAATCACGCTCCAACGGATCCGTGATTGAATCACCAATAATCACGTTCCAAATTGAATCACCATTTTCCCTATTTTTTCTATTTTAAACCTTTTTTGATTTTTTGATTCTTTTAAATAATAATAATAATAATAATAATAATAATAATAATAACATCTAATTGAACCACAATGGGTTTGGTTGGGCCTGAACCATAATGAGCCTAGTTGGATTGGATCAAAATGGGTTCAATCGGGTTTAAACTAGAATGAATCTAACTGGGCTCAAACCAAAATGGATTCAATTGGGTCTGAACAAAAATAGGTGTACACAAGCATTGGCCTAGCCTATTTTGTCAAGTCTTTTAAGATACAACAAGGCTTTTTCCCATTCTTTGACTAACCCAACTCTTGTTGCTTTCCATAAAGCTTGTTTATACTCTTCCCCCTTAAACTATCCTTTGAAATTTATGTACAAGTGCTTCAAATAGAATCTAAACTAGATACCAAGATATGCTTCTTAAAATTTTTGCTCTAATCCCTACCAAATAAAAAGAAAACAAAATAATATTAATAAAAATCAAAACATAAAAGATATTAGATAAACAAAGAAACAAAAAGAAATTTCATACTTTTTGTTGATCAAACATGAATTATAATCCTAGTTCATTAAAATTGCCAAGTTCTTCATGTAACAGATTAAGAAACTAAGACTAAGATTTTTTATTCTCTTATTCAACTACTGCATAACAAAGTAGGAAAAAGTTTCATTCCTATCTCAAGCAATAGTATTTAGTAATTATCTTCCAAAATAACATTTTAAGTGACATCCATCTAGTCCTATTAGCCTTCTATATCCATTAATGAAACCCTTCTTTTATGCATGAAAATAGTGAGATTCCAATTTCATCAATGCAGAACTTCATGGATTTGTTTATCGAATCATGTCACAATAATCCCATAATTTGGCATACTACAACTTAATATTCCCTTTCTATCATTTCTCTGGCTTTTCTTTTAGCTCTATACACTGGAGAGATAGATACATCAACTTTCAATTCTCTAGACATCTTTCTGCTAATCTTCTCAGTTTTTCAATTAGGATTATCTTTCAAGTCATCAAAAAATTTCTCAACCAAATAAAGTACAGTTACCTGGTTAATCTTGAACTCCTTCAAATAACTACGCTTCAGATTAAAAGTCTTGATTTGAAAGGTTTTATCCTTTTTTATCCTAGAAGTATATATTCTCCATCCACAATCCTTAACACTTGAGGCACTAATCTTCTCCCCATCATTTTTATTGAACTTGTAGTCAAAATCTCTACTTACATAATACTCTTTTGTGCCCTCCTATAAACAAAAGCACTAATAAACTTCATTCCAATCTTTAACCTAGATTTTTCATATCAACGTCTTCATTAAACACAACATATTGCTTCTTTCATCATCAGATCCATGAACACTGTGTAGATTACCATTTTTTTTATCACATTATCTCTAAATTCCTCATTACATCATTACTTTCAACAACCATTGGATCTGGACTACGTTTTCTAATATTAGCCTTTTTCCCTTTCCTTTTTCTTAGAACCACTAATAGCTTCTTCATTCTAAAAAATCATAAGATTATGAAAACTCTTCATTCAACCAACTAGGATCACTGCTAGAATAACCATCACTGCCTACCTAATAATCACTATCATCCTTATCATTATCCTCATCATTGTCTCCACCAACCTTATCTTCCTTATCTACGGTTACATCTTCAGAAACATTTTTATCAACATTTCTAACTTCATCTGCATTTCAATCTAAATTAACACTAGGTTAACCTTTTTCTACCTCTTTTTTATTCACACTTGGTGTACATGGATAAATAACAGACAAAGGAGGTTCACTAGCTACAACATATATTAGGATTGCTTTTTGATTATGATGACTACAAACTATAGCTTCAACATATCTCTATCTAAACAAATTACTTCTAATTCATCATCAAAAGATAGCTTAGGAACATAATAATACATTTCACTAATGGACTTATAACCTAATTTTATAACCCAATCTTGCAATTCAAATAATGATAATTGGTCTAAAGGATAATCATTAACCCATGCAATGTTTCCTCCAACCCAAACCTTGTGAAGAATATGGACAAATGACCCACAATAATAAAATTCAAGTGTTTTATTCTCATTCCATATTTATAAAAAAAATTCTATTTTACTTAATTTTGAAGTCATTCATTCAACATACTATTGTGTTCATAAAGGACTTTAAACTTAACAAAAATAATCCAAGTATAACAGCTCTACTTGTTTGTAATTTAATTATTTAGAATAAAAAACCTTAAATTTTTAAAATTTAATAAACACTAAATAGAATATTTCAACTAATCTTAATGAAATGGAAGTGAGAATCTCACATACCTTGTTAGATTGTAAAAGTTTGCCCAATACACAATAATCGTGCCTCGCTTTTTTGTCAAATTATGCTTAAAATGTTTCAATCGATGCCACTTCAACAAATTTCCAATTAAGTTTTCCTAAATCTTCAATCAGAAAACTTCTTCTAATTAGAATTGAAAGCTTTTTTGGTTTGATTCTTGAATGAAAAAGTTTATCATTTTTAGATGAGATCATTTGATTGTAGGTAATAAGTTTTGCTTTCTGTTTCCCACCCTTTCAAATGCTTTAACAATAAGTCATGGATTTTCTAGCAATAAAGGTATTCTTATCATTTTACGATAAATGGCATCCAAGGAATAGTAACGAAATGGCACAAATAAACATCTCAGGGTGGTTATGTGTTACATTTTAAAACTCATGGCATAAACTTAAATCGCGTTTAACCATAGGGTATACATATGTAATTTACTCTTTTTTTTTTATTTATAGGGGGTTTGGGTAAAAAGGTAAAATGGTTAAAAATTATTAGCCTCATACACACACGTAAGTAAAAACTTTGATTATCTTTTATATATTAATTTTGGTAAGTTTAACTTGCCATTCGACTAGTTATGTGGCATCTTATTACCTTTTTTATTTTTTTTTATTTTTTAATTTTTATATATTTAATAAATTATTATTTTTTTAAAAAAATCATGTGAGGTCCATTTGATATTATTTATTAAAAATATTTTTTATTTTTAATTTATTATATAAATTTTACAAATTTTGAGTGTTGACTTTGCAATAGATCTTTTACATGTCATCATAATCCAATACGAGCGATTTTATTAATTTTGGTAATTTTAACTTTCACCGAGACCTATCGTGTGTCAACTTCTCCATTTTTTTTTCTTTTCTTATTTCTTTCTTATTTCCTTATTAACCTTTTCTTATTTCCTTTTTATATTTAACAAATTATTTTGGTTAAAGGGTCAAAATGCCCTTAAATTATAATTCAATAATCATAAACCTATAACACTTTATTGTAATTAATCAAACCATTAATTTTTTATTTTGATTTAATTAAACCTTTAATTAAACAAAATCTAGTCACATGAGAAAATAAATCAATCAATCTCTGAATTACAATCAATTGAACCTTAGATAAATAAATTAAGATAAAATTTATGTATTTTTTAATCTTAATTTCAGTCGATTAATTTTTTAAACTAAAAATTTTGATTCGGTTAATAAGAATAAAATAACATAATTTCATTAATTCGATTCAAAATTAATTAAACCGTTTGAATGGACACCTCTAATTTCCTCCAAAAAAGTTAGGATCTATCATTGTTCTTATTTTAAAAACACAAAAATCTTGTTATGTTCTTTGTACATTAATTAAAGGCTTTAAAGATTTATATTTGATGCTTGCACAAAAAAATACATATTTGATGCAGTTTTATATATTATTGGAATGTTATAAACTATTACATCATTATTAATAAATTTAAATTTTTAAAATTTTCTATTTAAAAAAATTTATCATCTTTAAAAATAAATATTTAATTAATATTTAATATATAAATAAAATAATGAAAATATGAACTCAATAAAATACAGTCACTTTTGGTCACCTTCCTTGCGTATTGTCGGAAGTCCAAAACTTTTTTTGGGACACTTGTGCAGCTAAATTGTAAGAAAAACAGATACGGAAACGGAAAACCCATGGAATGGCCGACCTTGAGTCACTCATACAGAAATGCACATCCTTCTCCCACATAAAGCAACTCCAAGCTTACTTCTTCACAACCGGTAACTTTCAATCCTGCCGCACCCGCTCCAAACTCCTCGACCTTTGCGCCATCGCCCCCTTTGGCTCTCTCTCATTTGCTATCTCTATTTTCCGCCAAATCCGAACCCCTTTTACCAATGACTTCAATGCCATTATCCGCGGCCTGGTCCAAAGCCCTGAACCCACGGCGGCCTTCGCGTGGTACCGAACCATGCAACGTGGGTCTTTCAGAGTGGATGCCCTTACGTGCTCTTTCACGCTGAAAGCTTGCGCGCGTGTCTTGGCTGCTACTGAAGCTCGTCAGCTTCATGCCAACATAATGCGTTTGGGGTTCATGGCGGATGCTTTGTTAGGAACTACGTTGCTAAACGTGTATGCAAAAGTTGGCGATCTTGGTCGTGCAAGGAAAGTGTTTGATGAAATGCCCCAACGAGATATCGCCTCGTGGAATTCCTTGATTTTCGGGTTGGCTCAAGGGAACCAAGCCAGTGAAGCGTTAGAATTGTTTAAGAGAATGGAAGTTGAAGGGTTAAAGCCTAATGAGGTTACCGTTCTTGGTGTTCTTTCAGCGTGTTCGCATCTGGGAGATTTTAAAGAAGGTGAAAAGATTCATCTGTTTATAAGGAACGAAAAGTTGGATTTGAACGTGCAAGTTTGTAATGCACTTATTGATATGTATGCAAATTGCGGATTTGTGGATAAGGCCTATGGTGTGTTTGATGACATGGGTTGTCGAAAGTGCCTTGTTACATGGAATACTATGATCATGGCCTTTGCAATGGATGGAAATGGACTTAAGGCGCTTCAGCTTTTCCAGCAAATGGATGGAGCTCGGGTGCAGCCTGATTCTGTAACATATCTTGCTGTGCTATGTGCTTGTAATCATGCTGGCCTGGTTGAGGATGGTGTGAGATTGTTTAATACAATGGGGAAGCATGGAGTGAAACCTAATATGAAGCATTATGGAAGTGTGGTTGATTTGTTAGGTCGAGCCGGGAGGCTTAAAGAGGCTTATAATATTATCAATTCTATGCCAATGGTCCCAGACGTAGTGCTTTGGCAGAGTTTGCTTGGAGCATGCCGGATTTACAAGGATGTGGAGATGGCAGAGATTGCTTCGAGGAATCTGGTGGAGATGGGGTCCAATAATTGTGGGGATTTTGTGTTGTTATCAAATGTTTATGCAGCACATGAGAGATGGAATGATGTTGGTAGGGTGAGGGATTCCATGAAGAAAAGGGATGTGAAGAAGGTGCCTGGTTTTAGCTACATTGAGGTAGATGGTTTGAGGCATAAGTTTTTTACTGGTGATAAGAGCAATGCCAAATGGAAAGAGATATATTCGAAATTGGATGAGATCAGATTCAGGATTAAAGAGTTAGGCTATGTGGCTGAAACTAGTTTTGTTCTTCATGACATAGGGGAGGAGGAGAAGGAGAACCAACTTTGTCATCATAGTGAGAAGTTGGCAGTGGCCTTTGGTTTGATTAGTACGAGCGAAGGGACCCCAATTCAAGTTATTAAGAATCTTAGGATATGTGTAGATTGTCATGTTGTGATTAAGCTTATATCAAAGATATATGAGCGACAAATTATTGTGAGGGATAGAGTTCGGTTTCACAAATTTAAAGATGGATTTTGTTCTTGTAGGGATTACTGGTGAGTGGTGACCCCGGTTTCTTTCCCTTTTTTTTTTCCTGAATTAATTCATCACAGAGATAACTATCACTTTAAAAAAATTAATTGATCATTTAGCAGATTCTTTTTCTATCTTCTAAGGCTAATTTAACCCTAAACTATTAGAGTTTGTTAAATTCATATAATTAAATCTCCCATGGAAATTGATTACACATGTTTGCATTGTCGCATATCACTTACAATAATTACACTACAATTTACGGTTGAATAGATTTGCGGTTTACTTAAAAGCAAGACATTTATCTAATGCATGACAACAAAGAAGCAAACATCACTTTAAGAAGAAGTTTGACAAGAGGCCTTTACACTCCTCCGACCCAATTTCTCTTTTTTTTAATAAAAGAAGACGTTGCTTGAGAATAGGTGAATAGATTGTAAACACTAAAATTTGAATTTTAGACCTGATGTATATCATTTCTTAAGAATGATTATGAACTAGTTAAACTAAATTTCAAATTCAGCCTAATTTTTAATTTTACTTTCGCTAACATTTGGAAAGACTAACTCATCTTGAAGAGGGGAAGAGAAGAGGGGAAAAGAGAGAAGCAAGAAATCAAATTAGACGTTAATGTAATATGAAAGCATGATAATAAACTGAAATCAGTACCTATAGTAAATTACATACGATAATCTTACACACCAATTCTAGCCCTCTTGAACAGCTTATTAGCTAGTCCCAAAAATGACCTGACATGAAGATCTAATTCCAAGATAATATAAACAGATCCTTTTTACACGATTTATAATATATAATTTTCGTGGAAAAATAATTTAAATATATAAATTGATAATGTTTGACATAATATGAATATATAAATTGGCAATATTTAACATGACATGAATATATAAATTATGAAATCTATTAACAAATATATTGTACGCACATTACTTCATAGAAGTATTATAATAACTAACTGTATGATTCATGAAATTTAGAGGTCAAAAATGAGATTCACTCTCATTCACAAATGTTTGAAAATCAATTTCATTAGCATTAATATCCACGTCAGCTCCATCCACAAGTTAAGACAGATGATAGTAAGAACAAGTCACAAGTATGTTCTTCATTTTTTAATAATAATGAACAACACAAAAAGAAAATAATGAAAAAAAATCAATTTCAATAATATTCGACTAAATAATTAATCCAATTAATAAATAAATAAACCCAAAAAATAAAATAATTGTAAAGAAAAAAAAACTTAAACTTGTCTTTTATTTGTTTAGGGTTAGGGCTTTTCCATTTGGTAGCGAACGAGCTACTTTTAATATTCATTTCGGGGTTTAGGTTTTATCCTCCAAACAACTACTCCATTGTCACCCACTCTTTTTCAGTAAGGCATCTAATGTGTTTCGTAGTTGTCAGATGAACCAAACAAGGGAATGCTTGGAATAAAAAATAGATCTATTTTTTATTTTCGTGAGTTCGAATCTCATACTTGAGTTTTTGGTAGCGATTTTTTACCGTTTACGCGTTATTAAGCCATTATATGTTTGCACGTTGTGAAAAAAACACTGCAAGTGCCATTAACATGCGTGACGTAAATACGACTTTCAAAAAAAACTCAATATTAACCGTTAATATTGAAACACGTCAATTTACCATTTATATATTTGAGACGTCGCTGCTTTAGAAGTGTTTGAATTTGAAAACGGCTTAATATTAGCGGCGTTTGTATCTTTTAGTTGTATTGTCGAATGGTATTGTATGATATTATGGGTTTGAATAATATTTCATGCTGAATGGTTTGCTGAACCTTATTGTCTAATATTGTTTTGCTGAATGGGTTTAAATGAAATTGAGGGGCTGAATGATGTTTCTGAGTGGTTTGTTGAAGGGTGTGTATGAGAACATCGCTGAATGGTGTGCTAAATGCTATTTTTGTACATAGTATGGTATTAATTGTATTAAATTAAGTACAATGATCAATTTAGAGGATCATATTATGTAATTCGTATAATTATGATCAATATTACAAGTAATATGGACTCCGAACAACATCATTCTCCTGCTAATGAATATGCAAAAGAAAAAAGTGGAGGCCAAAAAAGAAAGAAAAATGGTCCAAATAAACAAATCAAAGTGACTGACACAAAAATTCATGTTGACTTTAATCAAAGTGGGCAACGTGTGTCGGAAAAAGCTTCCAAGATGGCTACTCATATTAGAACCATTGTCCGTCAGAGGATTTCATTCACATACATCGATTGGTAACGAGTTCCTGATGATCTAAAGGATGAGATATGGTAGTCTGTTGTGGTATGTTTATTCAACTATTTCATAAAATTTGTTATATGATCATTTAATTGAAATTCAATGTGTTGATACTATTTGTGTTAACTTTTTAGGAATGGTTCGACATCCCAATTAAGTGTAAAAAGATTATGTTGCAATTTAATGGGAAAGCTTTCAGAGACTTTAAAAGCAGATTGACAATCCAATATATTTTACCGCTAGCTGGTGAAGGTGATGATTTGGGTGTTTCACCTACGGCATATGCAAATGTCATAAGTGTTGAAATTTGGACAAATTTTGTTCAATATCAGCTTTCAGAAGATTTTTTGGTACGCAAACCCATTACCAAATTAGTCCCAAGTTTATAAGTCTTTATGCAATATAACCTTTCATCTTCACCTGTGATTGACGTAATTTCTTGATTTTGTAGAAAATCAAATAACAACATCAGGACATTTAGGCCAAATAGCAATATCACCATCGGGCAGCAAGAAAAGAATATGCAAATGTGAAGAATGAGCTTGTATGTATTCGCACACTTGTTTTATACTCATTAATGAATATTTATGAACATTCATTTCATACATTCTGATTCTTTTATTACGATAATTTACTAAGAATCTGTGAGCTCAAACATAAAATTTTCTAGATGGGATGTCTGGAAACAAAGATATCTACAGAATGATGGATCTTTCGTAGATGAAACAATCGAGAAAATGATAAAAAAGATTATATGTATAACTATTTTTTTAATATAATGTATGATTGGCATTGTGGTTGTATGCATTAGTGTATACTAGCTTGTGTAGATTTGTTATAACAACCCAACTTATTATTATCTTTCAGGATAATTATGCTGTCAAAGTAAAATCTGGTGAACTGGCAACCCAGTATGGCGAAGATCATTTATCTTTAGCGTTAGGTGCTAAAGAAAGGTCTGGTCGAGTTCGTGGGGTTGGTAAATTTATCTTGCCATCAACGTATTTTGGTAAACAACCAAAAACTCCACAAATGAGAAATGCACAATATGAAGCAATAAATTGAGCAACAACAATAAAAAATTAATGACCAACAACAAAGACTCGCTGCTTTGGAGTCCATGTTGGTAGCAATACAGCAGGCTATGCCAATACCCTGGCCTAATAGCATCGTCCCCGTACAAGAAGCTTTCGTTGCAAGTAAAGAAGCCATCTCATCATCCACTACCACCCAAGAAGTATGATATTGTTTATAATTTGAATATTAATTTGTTTATTATATTGATTGATTTGGTTATAATACTTATATTTCATTAAATATTGTATGAGGATGTTCAGACGCAAAGTCTGACCTTTGCCCAGGCTTCAATGGATGAGTTAACAAAATATTCGCTGGAGAATTGTACCGATGAAAACTTCATATCCATTGAGTCTAAGGAAGACTTATTTGATAAACAATCGGTTTCTTTTATTGGTGTGGATGAGGTGAAATAATTTTGTAAAATGGATGAATTATCAGCTACTGAAATCATTGCTTATATGAGGTTAGCTTATAAATACAAATATGCACATTCAATATGTAGTAAGTTAGTATTAGGGTGTAGTACTAACCAGTAATGTTGATTGTTATCGTGTAGCTTCCTATATAGAGAGCTGAAGGGGAGACAGTTGACGAATGGATTTAGATTCATTGACCCCAACTTCATTAGTGAGCAGAGTGGTACAATCATGTATCGTGCTAATCATGTGATCCTATGCATGAAAAGATCGACTGATTATTATTTGCTCCCGTATAATGCGCAGTAAGCTATATTCCAACCTACTCCATTCTATGATCTAATGCGTATTTTGAGTATATCATTGTTATTATTTTACAGTCATCATTGGGTGCTTATTGTGATTGACACTAAATCCTTAACGCCATATTTTCTTAATTCAATTAATCCAACAGCGATGCCTAACCCCGATATTCAAACTTTTATAAATAGGTATTACAGTACTTTATTATATTATATATGTTCTGTTTCTTCATAAGAAATTTTATTTATGTTCCCACTAATTTTTTTCTTTTCAATTTAAGGTAAAATCTGCATTCAATAAGAAGATAAAGAAACTGAAATAGGTGTCATTACTAGTAAATGTCAAATTTATTCTTTTAATGCTGAGTTTGTTTAGATAAATATTTTCTAAACTGACTCAATTTAATTTTCAGATACCTCATCAACCCAGTAATACTGAATATGGATATTATGTCCTTCATTTTATGCGAGAGATAGTGTTACATGATTTTATGATCACACCATTCAAGGTTAGTATAAATTTCATAAACTCGTTATATATTCAAAAAAATAAAATGGTACATTATGTTCTCATTTCTTAACATTTACTTCTGATTTTTTTTTTTAATGGGAAGGTAAAGAAAGCTTCACGGAAGAGGAGCTAGATGAAGTCCGTAAAGAATGGTGTGATTATATATTGTCATTTATCAATGTTGATAAACCTTCATGTTAGACATTGTTGGTTGAATGTAAATATATATGGAACAAATTGTTATAATGTTTTTAACATGCCACGTTAAATGGAAACTTTAAGTTTGTACATTGGGGGTATTGGTTTAATATTATTGTTATACTTAATATGAATACACTATGTGTACTTAATAAATTACTGAGTACGATTATTTCAAAAAAGTATATTAATATGGCAACGTTATTAGTTTTAATTTTGGATGTGTGGTCAATTTTTTGAAATACAACAATGTTCATTATGCAAATTCCAAAATGTAATTCATAGTATCAGA